ACTTAGGTCAGATTTCTGGCTTGTAAGCCACCTTGGATAGTTCTTATGAAATACAGACTCTGAGTTGTCTTCTTCCATGAGGTGGTCCTTCACAGAATGCCCAGAGTCATATCTGTGAAATCTGTGTTGTGCATTCACATTTCTGCTAGAGTGCTGATATGAAGGGGAACCTGGATTTTCAGGAAAATTCGATACTTTTTCATTGCCAAAGGATGAAGCCTGATGTGCACAGGAAGCAGATGCTGTTAACGACTTCCTGTTCTGGTTGATACTTTGAGGCACAGGTCTTAAGGCAGCAGCATGGATAAAAGGTAAGGAACCATCTGCAGGGAATGCTAGAAGATCATCAGTAGTGAGACTAAGCATATCTGTATCATAGACATTTTTTTTCCTCAGATGGGGCACAACTGACCCTAATATGGCTTGCTGCTCAAATTTCTCCAAAGCTGAAAAACAAGAAGTAAGAGAGAGAGAGAGGGAGGGAGGTCACATTTTAAAAACTGTAAAAAAACAAAAACAGCAACATAAACACATTTAAAAGATGTTAGAAAGGTGCAATTTTACTAGAAATATATTAAGGTTGCTCAATTAACTCTGTGGGAATTGCTTATGAGAAGACATGTACAGGATAGTGCAAATAACTGCACACAAGAGTGATCTACTTGCAAGAGTAATGTAATATCCATTAAAATTCTCACGGAAGTTGGAACGGCTGCTTCTTTGAGGGGTGCATGCAGGAAATCCAGGTATCTTTGCTCATAGAAACAGCCACTTCCTATGAAAATGCTTAATCAGACATATCACTCATGTGCAACAAAACTGTTCACTGTTTGTATGATCAGTTCTTCACTAACATTAACTAAAAGCCACATGCCCGAAACTTTCTGGCTACAATTCTAAGTTCTGTGTTGTCACTTCCCCCTCTCCCACCTGAAAGATCATACAAATCCAGCTGATAGCTGTCCTGGGACTGTAGAGCAGAAGGGAAGAAAACACTGGCTTCTGCCACCAGCAATGTGGCCGAGGGGCACTGGGAGGCTGCCTCCCTGGTATAATATCAAGGCAAGCAAGAGACCAATCTGGTCCCATCCATCACCACAGAAGGAGCAGCTGCAGAGAGCTTCCTTCCTTCTCCTTGCCTGAAAGCATGTTACTCTTGAATTGCAGAAACAAGGGGAAAGTACAATCTGACCAACAAGTAATTGCTATTCAGGCAAGAGCACCAGCAAGGGAAAATCAACCTGGCCTGGATATAAATGCCCACTTTGTTCTACCCTTGAAGAACTGAGCACCCTCTTCTACCTTTTCCATCCACTCTCTCTTTTTAGCTTGTAAGTCTAATGATGACAGCCCCTCTCTTTTATTACTGATGACAGCCAATTTAAAAGGCAATAACTGTATGAAAAGCAGCATAAAAATACATCCATTGCTTAAACCAAAACACTTAAGTTAGTCTTAACTAGTTATATCATCTGCTACATTATTCACATCATCTAACATGAACGTACAAAAGAAATGACTAGTAGCTGCTGTAACAGAAATATGACCCCTTTCTAAAGCAATGTTATAAAGTTATTAATGTTATTACAATGTTTCTCATTTGTGGAGTGTTATATTTCACTTTAATCCTATATACAAACTTACCACTTATCTCTCACTGGAAGCCGCCTAAGCATCACAAGATAGGAAATGCAAATAAGATCAAAATTACCGTATTTTTCGCACGATTGGACGCACCGGACCATAGGACGCACCTAGTTTTTTTGGGGGGAAATAAAGGAAAAAAATTTCCCCTTTATTTCCCCCCCAAAAGCAGGTCAGGGAAACCGAACCAGGTCGAGGAACAGCGGGATAGTGGCGCTGCGCCTCCCTGCTGTCCCCCGAGCTTGTGGGGCTGGCCGATGTCTGTCCGGCGGGCGGGGCGCTCTGCTTCAGGGCGCCCCACCCGCCAGGCAGCAGGCTGCTATCCGCAGCGTGGGGAGCCCTGTGGGGAACTCCTGCAAGGCTCGCCACTCTGCGGATGTATGCCTGGCACGAGGGGCGCTCTGCTTCAGGGCGCCCCACCCGCCAGGCAGCAGGCTGCTATCCGCAGCGTGGGGAGCCTTGTGGGGAACTCCTGCAAGGCTCCCCACTCTGCGGATGTATGCCTGGCGCGAGGGGCGCTCTGCTTCAGGGCGCCCCACCCGCCAGGCAGCAGGCTGCTATCCGCAGCGTGGGGAGCCCTGTGGGGAATTCCTGCAAGGCTCCCCACGCTGCGGATGTGTTCCCGAAGCGCCTGGAGCTCTGCTTTCAGGGCGCCTGACGCTCCGGGAAGCAGGCTGCTATCCGCAGCCTAGACACAGCTAGCGGAGCGCTAATCCCGAAGCTTGGGGCGTGCGGAGCTCAGCGCGCCCCAAGCTTCTGGGCGCTAGCGGAGACCTTGCTGGCGCCCAGAAGCTTGGGGCGCGCTGAGCTCCGCACGCCCCAAGCTTCGGGATTAGCGCGGCGCTTCGCTAGCCCTGGGAGAGCCCCGCGACGTCGCGGGGCTCTTCCAGGGCTAGCGAGACCTTGCCGGCACCCAGAAGCTTGGTGCGCACCGACCCCTCTCACTCTCCAGGCTTCGCTCCATAGGACGCACACACATTTTCCCTTGCTTTTTAGGAGGGAAAAAGTGCGTCCTATGGTGCGAAAAATACGGTATGTAAGCTAAGCAATAAAAAATGTGCATCATCTGCCACTCTCCAGCGACCCTTAACAGGGGCCAAGGTTTTGCCTGACACAAATGGAATAACACTCACATACCATATTTGCGCTTGAAACTGTCCTCCGAGGACCTTAGGTCTTTACGAGTACTCTGCGTAATGCAGATTTTTCCAGGTCTTACTTCTGGCGACGCAAGGCTGAGATCGAAATCTTCAATATAGGCCTCCAATGCTTGAGATGCAGACCTATAGAGCCTGTCCTTGTACTGAATTGAACTGTGGGATTTCAAGGAGCAACTACTATTGCTAAGGCTACAATCTGCCAGAAGACAAGAAACAGTTGATTCCGGAGAGTAGACGCTGCCTTTTTTAATCAAGCAAGCCATTACACATTTCACCAAATTGGATTCCTGGAACCGCTAGACATGTTTCTGAAAAATGACAGCAAGTGAGAAAACCAGTGAGTCAGCCATGCTGAGCATTAATAAATGTAATGGATTCAGAAGCCGGACCTGTTGACGGACCGACTCTCTGTTACAAAGTGTGTTTGCAAGCGTGACATGAAGGCTGGCAACATTAACCCCACCATGTGGGAATCCCTTGCAGGATCGTAGTGCCTGGAGACAGACAGTTGTGTATCCACAGCAGTGACCAGAGGACCAACGAGCACAGAGAGAAGAAAACCATGGTGCATCTGCAGTAGCAGAATAGGATACTTTCATCTGCACCAGCTGAAGCAAAAACATGACTTTCCTGTATCGGTCACTATAGACACAGCAGGTGCTGCAAGCTTGACCTCACCTGCAAAGACACACTCCTCCATTGTCTCCTGAGACAAACAGCCGGAATCCAACCAAAGTTCACCACTTTACAGCTGCGGTCCTATCCACCCTCCCACCTGGAAGCAACTCGGAATACAGTGGTACCTTGGTTTTAAGAACAGCTTAGTTTATGAACAACTTGGATTAAGAACGCTGCAAACCCAGAAGTAGATGTTTTGGTTTGTAAACTTTGCTTTGGAAGCGGAACACGTTCTGCTTCCTGTTGAGTGTGTTCCATTTGTAAATTGAGTCCCCCGCTGCTATGGGAAAGCACGCCTTGGTTTAAGAACGCTTTGGTTTAAGAACAGACTTCTGGAACAGAATAAGTTCGTAAACCGAGGTACCACTGTATGCAGAAGGGAGGGAAAAAAGAAGCCAGAGAAGGAGAGGAAGGGAAGCCCTTAGGCGCTTTCTGTTGTGTCCCCTTGGTTTACCGTGGTTTAAATTTTTCTCCTTTTATTCTTATTCTTTTTGAACTGTATGTAAAAATGCAAATAAAAACAGGCATGGGCTGGACTGTGCCATGAATCAGGTCTTCCATAACGTTGTCACAAGAAGCTTGGCTGCTTCTTATAAGATTTTTCCAATAACTATTTATTGTATTTTATCTATCGCATAATTCCAATAACTATTTTATTTATTACATTTTTTCTTTCCCCCCAATAACTGTTTATTTTACTTATTTTCATTATACACCTTTAAGCGCCAGGCGAAAATGTTCCTTTTGAACCAAGCCTTTGGATGATCTGATTTACATCCCTATGCCCTTTTAAAATGTGTTGGCTTGTTTTGTGGAAGGGGGCGGCGGCTATTGGGTTGTTGTTTTTATTTTTATTATGTATTTTGTGATTTTATATATTGATTTTATTCTGTGAAACGCACTGAGACCCCCAGGTATAGGGTGGTATATAAATTCAATAAATAATAATAATAATTTATTTTACCTATTGCATGCAACTATTTTATTACATTTTTACTTTTCCCCAATAACTGCTTATTTCACGTATTTCATTTCATTTATATACGTGCTGCCTTTATCTCCCAAGGAGCGCGGGTTGGCGCCCGTGGTTCTCCTCCTCCCAATGTCACCCTCACAACAGCCCTGTGAGGTAGGCTAGCGGCTCAATTTTGGCCTAGCCCTAATACGGATTCGAAACCCACATCCATCTTTCCGAAATCTCCCTCAGTCCTCCTCAGAGGGTCGAAAGCGGACGCTTCTCGCGCGAGGGGCACAAGATGCGGGCGCGCACGTCTGAACTCGCGACACGCGTGTTTCCGCGGACCGCCGCGCGTCGCCTCACCGCGTGCGAACCCGCCGCCGGACAATAACGCGTGTCTGGCGACTCCCCACCCTCTTCGCCCCGAGGGAGAGAGCCGCTTACCCGCTTCAGGCGGCGCCTCCTCCTCCCGCCCGCAAAACGTTTGAAACGGGGAAAAAAAATACCGCCTCTTCCCAAAATGGCGCCGTCAGCGCTCCACTGCGCATGCTCCATCGCTGAGGCCGGCGCCACCGCGCATGCCAGTGAGGCTGCCCGGCGTTCGGAGAGCAAGCGCCCCTGCGAACCACAACTCCCGGCACGCCCCGCGGGCGAACGCATCACAATGCTGCTGAGCCACACCGCCCCCCACCGAGGAGAAACGCGAGTTGCAGCCGGGAAGGAGGAGATTAGAAGGGATGCGAGCGGCAAGACCCAGGTGAGCGCTTGGTGCGGCTCTGTTGCAGCAGCATCTACACACGCCTCCAAGAGGCGAGCCGCCTTCTTGAAGCCGGGAAAGCGATGGGAATTAGCGTGCAGGAGGAACTTGAAGCGATTCATAGATTCAATAGAAGGGACCCTGAGAATCAATGCAGGAAAATGCAGCTGTCCCATACTGGCAGTGCTGGATTTACGTACTGTACAAAGCTAAACAAGCTATAACTTAGGGCCCCACTCTCTTGGGGCCCCCAAAAAAGATTAAAGGGGGGAAAAGCACCTGGATGTACATTTCCAAAATATAAGATAAAAAACAAATAAAATAATACCTACATACCTATTAGGTCCATCAATTACTATATAGCATATATTCAACACACACAAAAACAGCGACAATTTGTTGTTGATAAAGGACGCGGGTGGTGCTGTGGTCTAAACAGCTGAACATATAAAGGGCCCCATTACCCTCAGTAGCTTAAAAGGTAAAGGGACCCCTGACCATTAGGTCCAGTCATGGCCAACTCTGGGGTTGCAGCGCTCATCTCGCTTTATTGGCCGAGGGAGCCGGCGTACAGCTTCCGGGTCATGTGGCCAGCATGACTAGGCCTCTTCTGGCAAACCAGAGCAGCGCACGGAAAAGCCATTTACCTTACCTAATTATCTACTTGCACTTTGACGTGCTTTCGAACTGCTAGCTTGGCAGGAGCAGGGACCGAGCAACGGGAGCTCACCCCATTGCGGGGATTTGAACCGCCGACCTTCTGACCAGCAAGTTAAGGTGCTCTGTGGAATGAATAAAACGTGCTGTATCCCCACCCCCTGTCCTTGCGACACTTACTTGTCCTTTGCTTTGCCATTTTCACAGATAGATGGACTATAAGAAACTTTCAGAGGGCCTCTCCATAAAAATTTTCTCGTACCTTCATGATCCAGTGGGATGGAAAGTGGTGAAAAGTGCAGTAAGAACAATGCCGTTCATCTTGTTTCAACTATTTCTCTCTTGCTGTTAAGCCCCAAACTGTTATTAGCCCATGGCAGGTTTTTCTTTTTTTATCAGCCTGCTGATAAATAATTGCAACTTTAAAAAGAAGAAGAAGGAAACATCCCAAGATGCCTGGTCAATTTACAGGCAGCTCTTATTTCTCACAGGCAACCAGAGATTTAGAAGTAAAACAATAGGTTTTTTAAAATTGGGGTCTGTTTGTTTTTTAAGTTACAGATATTTCAGAGGGATTTGATTATTATTTTTTCCTTTCCTTTATTGTCAACCTGAGAAACAAATTTCAGTGTCATCAAGACCTTCAACAGATTTCCCAGGAACTCTGTAAGTATACAGGGCTTTGGTTCCTGTGTATTTCCTTCCATGCATGTCCATACTGCAGACCTCAAAACTGATTTAGTAGTCACTCCCCCATCCCAGGGATTCCTGAATTTTTCATGCCAGTCAGTTGCCATGTTAAATGCTACATGGATCCCAAAATACCATGCTGTAAGGTGAAAGCTTGTGTTGTTGTTGTTTTAAAAAAACTAATTTTGTTTCATTATTTATTTAAACATTTACAAGCCACACTTTTCATAAAAGACACAGCAAGGCAATATACAACATGCAAGATTATAGCAATGTTGGTAGAAGCATCAGTAGAAGCTGGTTGTTGGTGGGTAGGAAAACATCACGTTCCAAAGGACTGTCTGAATGACACAGTTTTCAACAGACCCTCTGAAAGTAGGCAGGAATCATTCCTGCCGAACCTCTAGTGGCAGGGAGTTCCACAGGGCAGGGCCTTCCATACTAATGGCGTGGTCTCTAGTAAAGGCTGACTGGACCCTCAGGGAATCTCAGCGATCAAGATGGAGCATAAGGAATCTGGAGGTCCCAGATTATTTAAGGCTTTGTGAATTTACACCCAGAGCCTTGAACCTGCCTTATTGCAACCAGTATAGCTCTCTCAACAGAGGCGGGTGGCATGTTGCCTGTAGCCTGCTCCTGTGAACAGTCTGGCTGGTGCATTCTTCACTAGCTGTAGCTTCCAAATCATGTAAGATTTAGTTGACCTTCCTGCATTGCAGAGGGTTGGACTAGATTTGTGGTCACTTCCAACTCTACAGTTCTATGATTCTATGAATGAATTATCAGAAACATAGGAAGTTGCCTTGTATCAAGTCAGACCACGAGTCTACCTAGCCCAATATTGTCCACACTGATTGGCAGCAGCTCTCCAGGGTGTCAGGCAGGAGACAAGTCCCAGCTAAGGCTGCCGTAGATGTTCTCTCTTTTCATTCATGCATCAGTGTGTTGTAAACAAAAATTGCCCTTTTCCTTTATGGGGTGTCCAAGAGCCCATATAAAGTCCTTACATAGGTTCCCTTATTGGTAGGAGAGAATAACAGAGGCCAGCCAGAGAATATTGAGAAGCAAAGCAGCTAGTAAGCTTGATTTTTATTGATCTGTTGCAACAGGGTGCTCCCCTCACCCACAGGAGAGAGGAGGGAACCCAGAAAAATGGCGTGCAAGGCCTTATAAAGACTTTTGAAATTGCCACCCTGTAGATCAAGACCACCCCCAGAAACATCACACCTACATCACAGAAAAGGCGGTCTAAAACAGAACATTTGAATATGGTTTTCCTCCTGTTGTTGTTTATCTCCTGTCTGGCAGGTTACTTGATTGGATTGCCTGGGGAGCCCGGCTAGTCTTTTGTAATGATAAATATAAATTCCTGGGCCATGTCACCGGTTCACACCCTGTTCAAACACAGACATACCCTTAAGACAGGATTTGTGAAGGAAAAGACAATGGGGAGGCTTTTCCATTTTCCTTTGACCTTGCAGAGAAAACATTTGGTCAGTTTGGGACAGTTTGGGAATCAAAATGGTTCCAGGTCGGTCTTCCTGTGCTGATCTATGTATGTGCTTGGTTGGTACACTTATGAACATTTAACATATGTCTAAGACCATAAAATTCCTGTCACAAGTGCCTTCCTTTCTTCCCCACCCATGCCAGTCTAAAATTATACTGCTTTGTTCTACTGCCTCATTCTTCTGTGTGCGTAGAACTGCTCCTCAAGTCCCGATACAAACCAAACACCTCTGAATTACCTCTGTTTCCGTATCTAACCTAGATATCGTGCTGAAGCGCTAGTGGAAGTACCGGCTCCTAAACTCTTTCCCTTCATTTTCCGGGCTGAGTACCGCAACAAGTGGGACAGAGCAGTACAGTCGTACAAACTTGTAGATACAATTGACCAGGTGATTCCATAAGTTAATGGGGTTTTGAAGTTTTGGGGTGTGTTTGTGGTTCCCCCCCCCCTTAGCCTAGGCATTACTTTGGCTTTTCTGGCAGAGCTGAAATGGGGGACAAACAGGTCTTGTGCCTTTGGCGGCTGTATAAAACTCTGGGTTTTCATAGGTGCATCTTTGTACATTATTTAGGGTTGCATCTAAAGAAGTTATCTCCTTAGTGCAATGACTTCTACCTGTGGGGCAGGAGTTCCTCTCCCTTCCTCAATACGTTCTTGGTTTCCCGTCAATCTCCTGGAGCAGATTGGTGGGTACACAGTGAGAGAGGAGGGATTCCCATTGCACAAGCAGAAGTCATTGCGCTTAATAATAATAATAATAATAATAAAATTTTATTTATACCCTGCCCTTCCCGGTTCAGAAAACCGGGCTCAGGGCAGCTAACAACAAATTTAAAACACTTAATTGATACAACAAAAAAACAGCATAAAATACAGTATGAAATGTGAATAACAATAAATTCAGAATTCAAAAATCAATTTAGGGGGGAAATCCATCCAATAAACATTAGATGATTACTAGGGCTAGCTGGCTAAAGGATGACTTCATAGGATGCAGCCCATAATGCTTCGTAGCGTGTAAGGCCATACCTGCCAACTTCTTAAAGACATAGCAAATAAGCTATGCACTTCAAAAATAACATACCAATATAGCTACTGTTCAGGAAAGTTAGTGAAAGCAATTCCTTTCTGACTTTAGTATGCTACACACATGGCAATAGCCTACTACTTTGTCCTCAGACATGTAGGAAGGAGGGAACTTATTTTCCCTGGCAGAGCTTTCCTAACTATGGAAAGCCAGCATTTGTTACCTCTATTCCAGATTTCGTTGAAGAGGGATTTGTAGGAATTTGACTTGAACCATCTTTTTTTCCCTGGTTAAGTTCTGCCAGGTTGCTAGGTCATGTGACTGAGCTGAAAAGGGTTTGGAAGAGGTGTAAGTCTCTATCTGCTGTGCTCCCCCACTTCCCCATAACACTCCCCTTGGGGGGGGGGGGATTTATGCTAGCTTAGCCATGGGTGAGCCAGGGTGAGAGACTTACACTGCTGTATCGCCAGCTCAGCTGGGAGAGCCCAAGTTCTGCTGAATCCAAACTCCCTCAACCTGGTGGATCTTTGGGCTGGATTGTACTGTAAGCCATCCCACCTGCACAAAATATTCCCCCCCTTGTTTTAATCCATTTTCCTCAAATGTATTAATGTCCTTCTTTCCAATTGTTCTGAAACTACTTAGAAAGATTGGGGCAGGGGCAACACTTTTAAAAGCCAGGAAAAAATAAGGAAGAAATGAATAGGAAGGTACTTCAGTAGGACTCTGATGTTTGAAGAAACAGGGTTTCTTTAGGAAGTGTTGGGGATGCATAGGATGAGGTTGGTTACCTGTTTCCGATCCCTATCCATTCCATACAGTAATCCATTCCATACATCCCCATCCATTCCATACCTTGCTTCCCAAACTTAATCCGTTCCAAAACCAAAGCGTTCTAAAACCAAGGCGCGCTTTCCCGTGGAAATTAATGCAAAATGGATTTATCCGTTCCAGACTTTTAAAAACAACCCTTAAAACAGCAATTTAACATGAATTTTGCTATCTAACAAGACCGTTGATCCATAAAATGAAAACAATAAACAATGTACTGCAGTCACACAATCAATCAATCAGTAGCTGAAGTGGGTTCCACACGGTCACAAAAACAAATGAGTCGCAAAAACAGACAGACACTCAAATTGTCAGTGTAACACTCAAAACGGAAGTGTGGTACTCAAAACGAAGTATGTTTGGCTTCCAGAAAAAAGTTTGTAAACCGGAACACTTGTTGTAGTGTTGGGGTTCCAAGTTGTTTGAGTACCAAGGCGTTTGAGAACCAAGGAACCACTATAATTTATTTAGTTGCTCAGTCATTTTACTGAAAGGATTTCTATCCACCCTTCTTCCACATCAGTGAAAAGCAGTGTTTCCATGTTGAACTCTGAGCTGAGCATCAGCAGTGCCTGCATGCTTGAAAATGCCAGCTTTGCTTTTGGCTGGTGAAGCCTAGCATTTTGCTGACGAAGCACAATATCAAGACTCTTCAACTTGTTTTTCTGGTAGGCAGGATACCCTGAAGCAGCCAAGAAAGTTTGGAGCCAATGCTTTAACAATTTGTTTATTTATTTGTTTTGTATTTGCTACAGGACACTTTCGTTTACCAAAGTATTACACACAGTTACGGCTTGGGGCTGGTTACGCCAAGGGACTTTGTCTACTTGCTGCATGTTAAGACATATGATGGAGATTTATTGACAACAAATTGTAAGTAATATTACTTGCTGGGAAGGGGTTAAGAAATGGATTTCACACATAACCAGTTTAGAACCTGGTGATTCCCCACAGTAGAATACACTAGTGGGCAAGGGTACCAACTTGAATAAAATATTGGGGGGGGCAGGTAAACTCCACCCCACATAATCACAATTTTTAAAAAAGTTTTTTTTATTCAAAATTAAAACAAGACATATTATCCAAAAACATATCATCCTTGTCCCCCCCCCATTTTTCCTCCCTCCCCCCACCCTCCCCCACAAAAACCCGACATCCCTCAGTTCCAGTCTTTGGTTTCTCTGAGACTGCTGTTTTCTGCATGTTACAAAGTTGTATAGATCCTCAAACTATTTAGCTGATTATTATCAATAAAAAAAGTTTGTGAATGTTTATTCAAAACCTGCCAAGGAGTCCAGTTCACTTTGTTGCGTCTTCAGATACTTTGTAAAGGGTTCCCATTCATCTTTAAAGTCAGTTATCCTTGTCCCGTAGCTTATATGTCAGTCATCACAATATTTTATTTTATTCATTCGACCAAAGAGACCTCAGTCCCTAGGAGTTGGCTCTTAAGCCAGTGGGCTAACCTCCATATGAAGTGTCTTAAACTCTCTGGAAGAAGAGAACTGTAATAAATACTAACTTAGAAAACAAATAGCTCTGTTATCCTCCTACCCCTAAAACCCCCCATATTATTTTCCTAGAGAACTATACCCATATCCCTTGAAGTGGGGATGGACAAATCTTGTTTCTCATATTTCCAGTCTTATGTCCAGTTCCCCACACTCAACTCATTTTGCTCCTTAGAAAAAAAAAGTCCTAATGAAAATATATAATCATTTTAATGTGAATTTCTCCTAATATATTCTTTTTAAAGTATTTTTGCCCTTACACACTTTAGCAGAGCTTATTTGCATGTTATTTTCATGCAATTTAACTTTCTTCCGCAGGGCCTGTAAGACAGAGCTATTCCGCCTGGCTTTCCATTTGAATTTAGCCTGATCTTTTCTTCCCCTTCCTTCCCTCTCCCTCCCCTTTTATGAAGATTACCCGCTCTGGGATCCCACAGCTAATTCTCCCCTGGTCTCCTCGCTGGCCCAAACAGGACTAATTTAGCCAGCTAGCTCTAATGTTTATTGGATGGATTTCCCCCCAAATTTATTTTTGAATTCTGAATTTATTGTTATTCACTGTATATTATGCTGCTTTTCGTTGCATCAATTAAGTGTTTTAAATTTGTTGCCATCCGCCCTGAGCCCGGTTTCCTGAACCGGGAAGGGCGGGGTATACAGTGGTACCTCGGCTTACATACACTTCAGGTTACATACGCTTCAGGTTACAAACTCCGCTAACCCAAAAATAGTGCTTCAGGTTAAGAACTTTGCTTCAGGATGAGAACAGAAATCGTGCTCTGGCGGCGTGGCGGCAGCAGGAGGCCCCAATAGCTAAAGTGGTGCTTCAGGTTAAGAACAGTTTCAGGTTAAGAACGGACCTCTGGAACGAATTAAGTACTTAACCCGAGGTACCACTGTAAATAAAAAACATATTATTAATACACACACAGTATGTTGCTCTTTTATTCTTAGTGACAATTGGTGATTTGTTGCTTGGACGTATGTTTGGGTCACCATGTTTGCTGGTGGAGCAGGTTTTAAATTCCGTTTTGTTCTCCCCCATAGCTGTAAGTGTGGACCACCCAGCCTTTCCTCCAACTCCAAAGTATGTGCGTGGAACAAACTACCCTTCTGGCTATGCGTGCTGTCCCATACCAGGGTAAGTGGTCCTCACAGCCTGTTTATTTGCAGGGAAGGGTAAATCATCATGATGGCTTCCAAGCTGGGAGGCAGAAGAGCTCTTTATAACTTCATTGCGTCAGTTGTAGTTTGGTTACATGAATAGGAGCATAGGAAGATGCCCTACCAAATCATAGAAGCATAGAATCATAGAAGAGTTGGAAGGTTCCTTGAGTTTCATCTAGGCCAATCCCCTGCAATGCAGGAATCTCAGCTAAAACATCCATGGCAGATGGCCATCCAACCTCTGCTTAAAAACCTCCAAGGAAGGAAAGTCCACAACGTCCCAAGGGAGACTGTTTCCACTGTTGAACAGCTTTTACCACCAGAAAGTTCTTCCTGGTGCAGTGGCGTAGCGTGGGGGGTGCAGGGGGGGCCAGCCGCACCGGGCGCAACATCTGGAGGGGGGGCGCGGAAGAGACTCGAGTGCTAAAATCCACGGGTTAGGGGGCGCAAATTACTTGCCTTGCCCCGGGTGCTGACAACCCACGCTACGCCACTGTCCTGATGTTCAGTTGGAATCTCCTTTCTTGTAACTTGAAGCCATTGGTTTGAGTCCTTCCCTTCCGGGCAGGAGAAAACAAGCTTGCTCCATCTTCCATGTGACAGCCCTTAAGATATTTGAAGATGGCGATCGTATCTCCTCTCAGTCTCCTCCTTTCCAGGCTAAACATACCCAGCTCCTTCAAGCACTCCTCGTAAGGCTTAGTTTCCAGACCCTTGATCATCTTGGTTGCCTTCCTCTGCACACGTTCCAGCTTGTCAACAACCTTCTTAAATTATAGTGCCCAGGATTGGATACAGAATTTCAGGTGTGGTCTGGCCAAGGCAGAATAGAGTGGTACTATTACTTCCCTTGATCTGGACACTATACTTCTGTTAATGCAGCCTAGAATAGCATTGGTCCATTCAGCAAAGTGCCATCTACACGGACTGGCAGAGGCTTTCCAGAGTTCAAGGCAGGGGGAAATGATTTAAGTGTACAGTGGTGCCCCGCAAGACGAATGCCTCGCAAGACGAAAAACCCGCTAGACGAAAGGGTTTTCCGTTTTTGAGTTGCTTCGCAAGACAAATTTCCCTATGGGCTTGCTTCACAAGACGAAAACGTCTTGCGAGTCTTGCGATTTTTTTCGCTCCCCCCCCCTTTTTCTAAGCCGCTAAACCGCTAATAGCCTTATCGCCGCTAAGCCGCTAAACCGCTAATAGCGCTAATCCGCTAATAGGGTTGCTTCGCAAGACGAAAAAACCGCTAGACGAAGAGACTCACGGAACGGATTGTTTTCGTCTTGCGAGGCACCACTGTATAGCGAAGGGAAGCTTTTTGCTGAATTTTCCCTCCTTGGTTCTGTTCTGTGGGTCCCATCTGTTGATGAGTTTGTACTGTTCAATTCTCACTGTTAACAGTTTAATTTTCCCCATCCCCCCTTCCGATAATCAGAACTGTTTGTTTTTAGAAGGGTATATTTTAATTGTTGTAACTCTCCCTGGGACCTTATGGTGCAGGGTGCATACAAAATCTAATAAAGCAATGCTTTGAGGTTAATGTCTCGGAGAGAAAAACTGTCTCGTTTGCTTGGGTTAGTAGAAATAAGTGCCAAACATAATGATGAAGTAGTAATACAGACTACTGCCAGGTTATAGTGTCATATTTGATTCCTAGAACTGTGTGTAATTTCCGATTTCTTAATGGATAAAAAACAATTCCTCTCTTTCAGCAACCCAGAGCACTCCAAGTTTGTGGCGATTGTCCAGGTGGACTTAGGAGGGAAGTTAATGCCTTCTGTCATAGATTCGGTTATGCCAATGAGCATCATGAACATGATCATGGATTTCAAAGCTGGAATTAAGTCACTGAAGGGAAACACCTTATAAAAGTCTACCAGAGAGTGGAAAGGAAGGTTCTTTGCAGTGCACAACTGTCACTGAAGTTTGGTTTAATGTAAAGGCTCAGAGAGAGCGTGCTCAGTGGGGGTCAGTGTGGACCATTTAGAAGCTGCCATGTTGGGTCAGGCAAAGATCAATCTCATTCAGAGTTGGGTCTCCGGACGTGGGCAGACACAAAGAAGCTCGCAGGTAGTATGTGATGGAAACAACCATCCTCTGCATTAAGAACTGGGAAGAAAACATATAGCTACCTTTAATCACCTTGAGTGAATCTTCATGTTATGGCAAGGGTGAGGAGCGTGAGGTCTTCCAAATGTTGGTCTTCCAAATGAGAGCCAGTATGGTGTAGTGGTTAAGAGCGGTAGACTCCTAATCTGGGGAACCGGGTTCGCATCTCCGCTCCTCCACATGCAGCTGCTGGGTGGCCTTGGGCCAGTCACACTTCTTTGAAGTCTCTCAGCCCCACTCACCTCACAGAGTGTTTGTTGTGGGGGAGGAAGGGAAAGGAGAATGTTAGCCGCTTTGAGACTCCTTCGGGGAGTGAAAGGCGGGATATCAAATCCAAACTCTTCTTCTTCTTCTTCTTGGACTGGTGAATGGGCTTTTGTTACCTGGCCAAGAGAGCTTTGCTGTGACTCCTTCAGAGGTCTGCTGTAACAACCTTGCAAGGCACTTTAGGGACAAAATCACTCAGATCTAGGCAGAGTAGGATGCCACAGTTGGAGAAAGTCCACACTAGAGGAATCCACTGCACCATCTTCTCCTTCTGGACCACTTTATCTTATTGTGGCCTGAGGACAATTTTCTTGGATAAGCGCAGCTGACCACCTGCCCCCTTGACTAATGCCTACCTTGGCTTCTTATAGCTAGCTGTAGGGTGCTGTCTGGGTGGGTCCAGAGAGTGGCCAAGGCTTCATTGGAGAAGGGGGAGGTACCATCTGCTTTCAAGGAGGTGGTGGTGCATCTCTTCCTTAGAGGACCTCTCTGGACCCAGAAGTGTTAGACAACTGTTGCCTAATGGCAAATGTCCCTTTTGGGCAATGTGCTTGAGAACATGGCAGTTGTCCCGCTTCAGGCATGCTTCAAGGAGACTGGAAATGTGGATCCATTTCAGTCTGGCTTCAGGCCTGGTTGATGACATTTGTTAGGAGAGAGATGTGAGGGGTGCAGTTATGCTAATTCCACTTGCGAGACTCAGCAGCCCCAGATTATATCCTGATCTCAATGCTGGGGATACACATACATACATTCACACAATATATATTGACCACAACCACTATGGGCATGAGTTACTTGGGTCCGTGTGACTGTTTGGCATGAAGGCTGCATTGACAAAGTCAGCTGTGCTACACACACTTACCTGAGAGTAAGCCCCCTTGAAAACCATGGCGCTTACTCCTAAATACACATGCACAGAGTGCCTTTACAGCATAAATGTTAAAATAGGAACACGTGCACCTGTAAAATTTCTCCCAGCTTCCAAGTTCTTTAAGGAACACAAGCTTAGTTCCAGGGAGCTGACAGTATTTAGACCTGCTCTACACATAAGTGGGAAGAAGTATGTATGTTTGTCATAAGAATTCAGACTCTTACTCCATGGTTAATAACACACTTTATTGTGTTTATGAACAAAGAATTCTGGTTGTGTTTGTGTCAACTACTCCCACTTTGAGGATGGAAATGGAAAAAAAATGGATTTCTGAATCTCCCTGCCTTACCAGAGGATCTGGGTCCACCAACTTCCATCTGCTCATGTCTGTTGTCTCATGTCTCCTGTTACGTGCTTTTCCTCGCCCATCCCATATTCTCACCTGTCTTTTCAGAGGTCAGAAATCTCATCACCACAATGTGCTTGACGGTGAGAGTAGGGGGAGCAATATTTCCTGGGGGGTGTTCCTTTAACCCCCCCCCCACACACTTCCCTTTCTTGTACCTCTTCTCCAGAGTTTTAAGAAATTTACATTTCAGAGAAAAGGGATTTTGGATTAGAGCTCACTTGCACAAATCAAAATCACATGGTCAGGTTCTTTCCCAATTATAGCAGATAGCATGTGGGTAGCTGCATTTTCTGAGCACTCCCAACATATTAAAGAAGCAAACCCTTATCATGTAGCAAAGTTGCACATCGGGGAGAAGGCTAGACAAGAGCTAGTTGTCCATGTGCAGGAAGGTTATATATGTATTTAACTTGAGGGTGCACTAAAACAAAACAAAACAAAACAAAACAAAACAAAACAAAACAAAACAAGCCCTCTTCTCCAGTTGCTGTCAGAAATGGCACCATCCTAGAATTGATAACCCAGTGTATTTGGTGATCATTTGGGTTTAAAATATCTTAATAAACTGTTTGAGTGGGGGGCTTTCTTTTCCCTTTTGAGCCTGTTTTGAGTTTTGCCAGCCCGCAGCTTGGAGGCAGGCTCCTGGCTCTTCCACTCCACCAACAGTTCCTTCTGCATCTCTGTAGGCAACTCGGAAAAGGTTTGGGGATCGATATTGGGAGGGAGGACAAGTTTTGAACCGTCTTTCCAACCTTCGTTGCTGGCTTCTTTGTCTGGGTGTTTCTGCCCCTCTGGAATACAAAGCTGCAGAAATGAAGGCTGAGATGGAACTGGGGGCGAGCTTTTAACACCCACAGTAGCGTCAGCAATTGAGGCATTTTCGCCAGTCTCTAGAGGGCAGCTGGGAGTACAAGTGTTTACAGCTAGCGGTGGCTTGTCGTTGGTGGATGCCATGCCCCCACATGCCAAAGAGGTTATGTCCTGAGACGCGTGGCTCATTTGGTCTTGTGCCTTAGCTGGCATTCCTTCCCTTGGGACCCATAATGTTCGTTCCTGTAGAGATGCTATAGAATCTCCTCTCATTTGGCTAGAAATAATCTCCTCCTTAATGTCTGCTGGAAGCTGGTTAAACACGTTGCAGTCAATGCCATCAGGAAGCAAATGAAGCGGGAACTCAAGAAGGCCAGTATCTTTCGGGAGGTCTGGGGACTCCAGTCGACTTTTTACAGCATCCCTCACCTCTGATGAAGCTTCACAGCAGTCCAGCTTATCTCCTGAAATTATTCGTCCTGCACCCATACCTTCTGTTTCCTGCAACACAAATGGCACAATTTTTTGTGCAAGAACATTATTTGCCAACCTGGTGCTCTGAGCAGATATTTCGGACTACAGCTTCCATCAGCCCCAGCCTGGCTGCCGCAGAGTTAGTCAGTAAATAACACAGTTTAAAGCTGGGGCTAACTCTTTATTAGCAAAGCACGATACTCAAGAGACTTGGCTGGGTTTCGGGCCTAATGAGCACAGCAGCTCATACCCTGTAGTAGGGCCTAATCCATGAAATAAGTTGCCATGACTTAAGCTCCCCACCTTCCCCTCTCCAGTGCTTCTTGCAAGCAATCAGAGACTGTGCCTGCGTGCGGTCTGTATTTGCTCCTCCCGTTTCACATCTCTCCTGGTTCTGCAAGTCAGTGTCAGAGTACTGAGGAGTACTGCTCTGATGAGAAATGGTGGGAGCTTCACCCTCCCCCTGACCAGGATCCTGAAGCTGCCCAGGAGCAGTGGAGCAGTATAGATTTGGAACAGTGGTTTGCAGAGGGACATAGTTTGGAAGGCAACAGCTGGGCAGAACTAAGTGGGGGATAGCTAGGAGGAGAAGAACTGGAAGAGAGAGAGAGCTAATACAGTGGTGCCCCGCAAGACGAACGCCTCGCAAGACGGAAAACCCGCTAGACGAAAGGGTTTTCCGTTTTGGAGGCGCTTCGCAAAACAAATTTCCCTATGGGCTTCCTTCGCAAGACGAAAGCCCATAGGGAAATCTCCGGGACAGCGGGGAAGCAAAGCCTTCGGAAGGCTGCTCCGAAGGCTGGCGGCGGGAGGAGGTCTCTCCGCCCTACCGGCAGCCTTCGGAAGGCTGCTCTGAAGGCTGGCGGCGGGGCGGAGAGACCTTCTCCCCGCGCCAGCCTTCGGATGGCTGTCCTGAAGACTTGGGGTGGGAGAAGGGTTTTCCTCCGCTGTCCCCCGCTGTCCCGGGGTTTTTTAAAATGCTGGCGGGCATTTTAAAATCGCCCCGGACAGCGGAGAAGTCCCCCGCTGTCCCGGGGTTTTTTTAAATGCTGGCGGGCGGCAGCGAAGGCTTCGCTGCCGCCCGCCAGCATTTTAAAATCGCCCCGGACAGCGGAGAAGTCCCCTGCTGTCCCGGGGTTTTTTAAAATGCTGGGGGTGGGAAGAAAAGCCCTTGTCCCCCCCCCCAGCCTTCAGAAGAGGTCGGGGGACAGACTGTCCCCGGACCTGGTCTGAAGGCGCTTTCCATAGGAACACATTGATTGATTTTCAATGCATTCCTATGGGAAACCGTGCTTCCCAAGACGAAAAACTCGCAAGACGACAAAACTTGCGGAACGAATTAATTTCGTCTTGCGAGGCACCACTGTAGAGCTAAGTGTCCAGCCTATCAGCCCAAGGCCACATAGATAAGGCCAGCAGATAAGGTGGCTACGCAAAAAGCATGGTGGCTGTGAGATCAGATTGCAGGGCAGCAAAGTGACTAGGGGGGAAGTGGGTGGAAACCTTAATTGGAAGCACTTTCATTCTGAGAATCAATGCTTTGTTCTTTTGCTGTGATCATTAAAAACTCTTTAAATGGTAAGAGACTCTTTTCGCTGTGTCCTGCTTATCTACAGCCTGGGGGGGGGGGTTGAGTTCCCAAAGCCTGACAGTTGGGGAGAGGGGAGCTTGTCACAGCAGGGGGGGGAAACTCCTATAACTTCACCAGCCTGACTCATCTCTGCCTCTTGACTTCCCTCCTTCCACTCTCCTGCTTCAGCTTCTGCCTCTCATTCTTGACTTCTCTTTGCTACAGACTGTCCCAACTCACTGAGCCCTGTTGCTGGCTCCCCAGCCAGTTCCTCCCACCATTCCTCTGCATCCAACCAGTCCATTACACTGGCTAGAGCTGATGGGAGTTGTAGTCCAAAACATTTGCAGACAGCATTAGCTTGGCAAAGGTAGATTGAGATACCCAACAAGCATCATTCAGTTGACTGTCAATCTCTCCTAATTGCTCCTTGAACCGTACTCTTGTGAGTAAGTCCAGAAATATTTTCACTAGTCTGCCTCCTCTACACATGTTACATATATATATATATGTGTGTGTGTGTGTGTGTGTGTATACAACAAAGGTCTGTATAGTTAAAGCCATGGTTTTCCCAGTAGTGATGTATGGAAGTGAGAGCTGGACCATAAAGAAGGTTGATCGCCGAAGAATTGATGCTTTTGAATTATGGTGCTGGAGAAGACTCTTGAGAGTCCCATGGACTGCAAGAAGATCAAACGCATCCATTCTTAAGGAAATCAGTCCTGAGTGCTCACTGGAAGGACAGATTGTGAAGCTGAGGCTCCAGTACTTTGGCCACCTCATGAGAAGAGAAGACTCCCTGGAGAAGACACTGATGCTGGGAAAGATGGAGGGCACAAGGAGAAGGGGGCGACAGAGGACGAGATGGTTGGATAGTGTTTTCGAGGTTACCAGCATGAGTTTGACCAAACTGCGGGAGGTAGTGGAGGACAGAGGTGCCTGGCGTGCTCTGGTCCAAGGGGTCACGAAGAGTTGGACACGACTAAACGACTAAACAACAACAACAACAACTATATATATATATATATATATGCTGTTGAGATCTGTGCCAGAATTCTGATAGGGACCAGGGTTAGCCAACCTGGTGCCCTCCATATGCTGTTGGATTCAACTACCATCAGTCCCAGCCAACATGGCCAACGGTCAGGAGATTGTGAAGTTGTAATCCAGTGGGCACCAGGTTGGCCACCGCTGACCTATACTGTATTTGTGGTGGCGACACATCCAATACCAGCAGGCAGAACTGGTGTACTAGATGAGATTCTTATTCACAAAGTATAGGTGAGGAGCTCAGCTCTTTTTTGGTGAATTTAAGTAAACATTTCTTTGGGACAGGGCAGGTAACATCTCTCTCTCTATTTTTACAAAAAGAAATACAGTTATGAACTTACATGAATGACTTTGCTGCAGCTGGAAGAGGGTGGTGAACGAGTTAAATAAAACCCAATAGTCTGCTTGGCGGAAGCAGGAGGGGCCTTGAGGCTGGAGAAGCAGACGTTCAGAAGCGTCAGATGAAATGGAAGTTGCACGTTTATCATCTTATGAAACAGTTTCATCAGGAGAGCAACCAGGTGTGTCTTGACTTTGGAGTCACCTGGATGTGAACATTTAAGCAGGAGAAAGCCACCCTGAAGTTACACAGATCTGCACCAGAATTCCAGTAAAGAGCATCTATACTGGGGGAGACGGCACGGTACCCTCTGGATGTTGGGACTCCCACCACCCCTGGCCAGCATAACAAATGGTCAGGGACCGTGAGAGTGGAGGACACCAGATTGGCTAATGCCAATTTATAATGTATGGTACTTGTAACAATGATGCCTCCAATATCCGTTGCCAGAGCTGGCACGCTGGCACCCAATGCTCAGTTCCACGTTTCTATGAGGGAAGGGAAGTTCTTTGCTTGGATGGGATGCAGGGGTGGTCTGAAGCCCAGGATGCAGAGAAGCAAAAAAATTGAAAACAATATATAGGGAGCCTGGATGCAAGGCAACTGATAGGTGGGTGGGTGTTCAGTAGAGAAAGGGTTAGGCAGAGCTTGTTGCGGACACTCCTGGTCACCAGAAGAGAGTATATTCAGTGGCAACTGGGAGAACCCAAAGCTATCTCTGCCTTACCCCTGCCCCCAAAGTAAATTGAGGAGGGCACCTTGGAGCAGGGAGCATCAGGCTTTTCCCCAAAATGGGCCTTTGCAAGCAGTGACGTCAGACACTTGAAGGCTTGATCTCTTTTGGGGACAGGCCGAGCGATGCTTTCTCATCTCTAGTGCAAAGAGCTGAGACAGAGGAGCAAGGAAGGGAAGCTGAAGGAGAAGAGACAGGGCACTGAGGCAAAGAAGGGCTCATAAGAGAAGAAGAAGAAGAGTTTGGATTTGATATCCCGCTTTATCACTACCCCAAGGAGTCTCAAAGCGGCTAACAATCTCCTTTCCCTTCCTCCCCCACAACAAACACTCTGAGAGGTGAGTGAGGCTGAGAGACTTCAGAGAAGTGTGACTAGCCCAAGGTCAGCCAGCAGCTGCATGTGGAGGAGCGGGGAAGCGAACCCAGTTCACCAGATTATGAGTCAACTGCTCTTAACCACTACACCACACTGGCTCAGAGGGGACTCTGAAGATACTTCCCAGTCCCTGCAGCCAGGAGAGTCTGTATGTTATGACGGAGGGAGGGAGGGGTGCTAGGAACAAAGAGACAAGGTGGATAAAAAATGGTTGCTACCTGTAGGCCTGGGATGAAGAAGCTGTGCCCCCTGAGAAGACACTGAACTTACTCCCAAAGAAACATCATGACTGCAATCCTAACACATTGTCTGTCATGCCTAGGTAATTGCTGCTCTTTGCTGTAGGGAGACTGGATGCTTTTCTCCTTAGTTGGAGTTCCTCAAGTGGTTTAAATGACCACACTTCATTGCACAATAGTGCTTGATTAGAATGAAATGCAAAACGAATGCTGACTTGGGTCATGTACACTGCTCTCCCCAGCTCAAGGGCAGCATGTGAACCACTGCACCATACTTTTCCAGCTCACTGTCAGCTAATACAGTGGTACCTCGGGTTACAGATGCTTCAGGTGACAGACGCTTCAGGTTACAGACTCCGCTAACCCAGAAATAGCACCTCAGGTTAAGAACTTTGTTTCAGGATGAGAACAGAAATCGCACAGTGGCGGCACAGCGGCACCGGGAGGCCCCATTAGCTAAAGTGGTACCTCAGGTTAAGAACAGTTTCAGATTAAGAACGGACCTCCAGAACGAATTAAGTTCTTAACCCGAGGTACCACTGTACTGGTAAACAGGGTATTGTGCTATGTGCTGATGCCTGTGTCTGTGTTTGTGTGTGTGTGTGTGTGTGTGTGTGTGAAGGGAGGCATTATATAACGGCTCAAGATGCAGGCGGTTTTCTGTTCTCCTTGGAGGAATGGCTATGGCTAGTGTGATGAGCCTCTGCCCCTCAGTTGTTTAGAAATGTACCCAACGTTAGCACTACTCACAGAAGACCCATATAAATTAATGGGCCCAACTAGCCTAGCTCCATTAATTTTAATGAGTCTACTTGAAGTACAATTTCGTTGGACACAATTCTTCTGATTGGTTATTTGCACTTAAAAGCCTTAACGGAAAGGTCCCAGGTCAGGATACAAAAATCTCGCAACGGCAGCAAACATCAGAAAACAAAGCCACAAAACCAACTGGTAACAAACCAAACCAGGCAGAACAGAAAAGCAACCCAGCAAGGAGGGAAGGCACTCAACTCAACTGAAGCTCCAAGGAGTGTATCTTGACCAATCGTTGAAAAGCATGCAATGGTGGCACAAGACGCATCTTGAAGGAGAAGTCCCCCCCACAAAGGCAAGTTACCTGTTCCAATCCTCTGGACCACATGCGATGGAATGGGGCACTGGCGGCTCTCCCGATTAAACCATTTATTGGTAGGGGAAAACTGCCGGATTGTTAATCTTATGGTATGTGGCTTTCTTCCATCCTTGTATAACCTAACCAAAAGGAACAAACAAACAAACAAACATGGAGGAACAGACCGAGGTTGACATGCCTAATATTTCCCAAACATCTCAGTTTCGCCTGGCTCAAGAAAACTAAACCCTATCAAGCATTTTTACAGCACTGCAGGAATATTCCAAGCGCTTCAGCTACGTGGATAGGTGGGTGACATCCCCACCCCATCAAGGGCCACATTGTCTTGGGAGGTAATTTGCTGGGGGCCACAAACTGCCTGTGTGTGTGTGTGTGTGTGTGTGTGTCAGTGTCAGGGTTGGGGAAGCTTCTTCAGCCAAAGGAGAGAAAGCAACACTTTATCAACACTATTAAACCAAGTGCTTTGGATTATGGCTGAGATTCAAATTTAGGTTCTACTGGCAGGAGCATCTTGTGCAGGCTTCCTCAACCTTGGCCCTCCAGATGTTTTTGGCCTACAACTCCCATGATCCCTAGCTAGCAGGACCAGTGGTCAAGGATGATGGGAATTGTCGTCTCAAAACATCTGGAGGGCCGAGTTTATGAGGAAGCCTGATCTTGTGAGTGGCTCCCGCTAGCAGAAAGAGGGGGTGGGATGACTTTTGCCAATTTCCTTTTCCTCCTGTAGCTCCTTTGCCCCTAGAAACCCTGTTCTGGAGTAAAAAACCTCTGGGAAATGATATATAATGAGGTGAAAAAGATGTTGAAATAGACATTTATTAAGAAACCAGAATCATTTTTACTTGGCATTATAGGAGATGATATTAATAGACAGGACTGTAAGTTGTTTTTATATGCAACGACAGCAGCAAGAATATTATTGGCACAAAAATGGAAGCAAGAAGAACTACCAACGAAAGAAGAATGGAGGATGAAGTTGATGGACTATGCAGAATTAGATAAATTAACAGGAAGGATTCAAAACCTGCAGGATCAGAGATTCTTAGAAGACTGGAGTAAATATATGAACTATCTGAAAAGTAACTGTGATGAACAGATTATGCTAGTAGGACTGTGAGAAGTTTTGTAAGGTGAATTATTTGAAATATTGCAAGAAAGACTATGAAGAGAATTATTAGTTAAGGATAATTAAATGTAATATAGAAATTAAGAAATTCATAATAAGTGATAAAGAACGGAAAATCATCAGAGGCGTTGATGGAAGTCTAAAAACATATAAGATGAGAAGTTATGTGGTATGACTGTTGGAACTGATATGTTAAAATATGTGGGGTGTGTGTGTGTGTGTGTGTGTGTGTACACACACACACACACACACACACAACCTGTTCTGGAGGACTGGGGGACAGCATAAGAGGTCATGCAGAAGGCTGCTCAAGGGACATTGGTGGAAATGCCACATCACCTCTGATTCCAGTGGAATCCTCCACTGGCCTCCAGTTCCCTCTGTGAATGGAAGTAGCCCATTCCCTCCTGGGTGACCTTGGGGGGGGGGCAAGTGTCAAGTGCCAGTGGTGGGCGGAGCAACAGAACCGACTCTTGATTTGACCACACAAAAGCCAATAGCTTCTGCATGGACACACGCCAATCTCCATTTTCTATCCTGGCAGGGAAAAAGCATGATCACAGCACAGGGAGATGTTCCAGCCACGCAACAGGATTTGAGGAGACTGTTGAGAGGCAAGACCTGGGGAGAGGAAGCCTGGCCTGGCAAGAGGCCCAGACAGAGAGAGGCTTGGAGGGGTGGCCCTGTGCTTGCAGGTCCCCAGTCCTGTGCTTGCAGGTCCCCAGTCCTGCTTGATTTGAATGCAAGAACCATTGGCAGGACAAATGACACACACATGCATGATGATAGCCAAGTCAAATATACCGTATTTTTCGCCCTATAGGGTGCATTGGCCCATAGGGTGCACCTAGTTCTTTTTTGGGGGGGGAATAAAGAAAAAAAAATTCCCCCCAGGTGCGGGGCTGAGGCGGGGGAAGCCCAAGCTTCCCCGACCCCAGCCCCCAGAACAGGCTGCTACCCGCAAGCCTGGGGAGCCCGCGGGAACTCCCAGGCTTGCAGATATCTGCCTGAAGCCCGGGGCGTGCTCCCCGCATTTCGGGCTGCAGGCTGCTGTCCGCAAGCCTTGGGAGCCCGGCGGGAACTCCCGCGGGCTCCCAAGGCTTGCAGATAGCTTCCTGAAGCCTGCATTCGCCCCATAGGACGCACACACATTTCCCCTTCATTTTTGGAGGGGAAAAGGTGCGTCCTATAGGGCGAAAAATACGGTGCATATTTTATAAGAGATATTTCAGCTTATGCCCAGGCGCATCTCTTCTGATAAGATACTCCACAGTAAGGTCACCTGTCCAGAAGGCTAGCGAGCAGCTCTTCAATTTTCTTTTTCACTTCGGCTTCGGAAGAGCACTTTCTAAAGGAGTCTTCATCACTGAGAGACTGCAGAACATTAAAAAAAAATATTACTGTAATTGTTTATACCACAGCAACAACAAATGGGGCGGGGAAAAATTTGAAGGTCTTAATTGGAGGAAACCATGGACCTGCACATTCTGCACGGGCTGATTTTTCACCCAACTGTCTTTGTTCTTTAAGATTTTGCATGCTGTGAAATCACCTTTGAGATACTGCGTCTGGGGAAACCGAATACGGTAAGTCAAACTTCTGATGAATCACAGCCAAGCTAGTACCAAACGTATTGCTCTGCTTTCCTTTGGACCACATCAGTGAGGCCGAGAGGGGGGTTTTGGTCATCTGGGCAGCCCAGGACCTCCAGACACACTACCCAGGCTTGTGCCCTGAGGTCATTTTGTTGCTGCTAACGCAATGGTTTGACTTCACCCCCGATGGCACACTCCATTGTCTCTTGAGACAGACAGATCCCAACAAGAAAACTCAGGCAGGGAGGTAGGGAGAGTCACTCTCTCCAGATATCTCTGTCTGGCCCTCAGGACTCTTCTTGGGCCACAACCCTCAACATCCCTACTGAATGTCCATTTCAAAGCTTTTGTCGGGATGGAAATTATTTAATCTGTGATAATGCCTCTTGGGGACGCAGGTGGTGCTGTGGGTTAAACCACAGAGCCTAGGGCTTGCCAATCAGAAGGTCGGTGGTTCAAATCCCCGTGACGGGGTGAGCTCCCATTACTTGGTCCCTGCTCCTGCCAACCTAGCAGTTCGAAAGCACCTCAAAGTGCAAGCAGATCAATAGGTACCGCTCCGGCGGGAAGATAAACGGCGTTTCCGTGTGCTGCTCTGGTTCACCAGAAGCGGCTTAGTCATGCTGGCCACATGACCTGGAAGCTGTACACCGGCTCCCTCGGCCAATAAAGCGAGATGAGTGCCACAACCCCAGAGTCAGTCACGACTGGACCTAATGGTCTGGGGTCCCTTTACCTTTACTTTTTAATGCCTCTTGGGGAGAGGTAGGTCTGTATTGAAACAGCTGGTGTGTGTGTGGATGGAATAGAACCTATGACACAGAATCTAGATTTGCATCCATTGCTCTGCTCATCTTTGCCTCTGGCCTTTGTCCACCATGAGGGAATATGGGACCTGGCCTGAGAAAGTATTATCCACCCCCAGTGACTAGGGCATGGCAGAATGTTGAGAACGGTGGCAGAGAAGAAGAAGAAGAGGAGGAGGAAGAGGAGGAGGAGGAGAAGTTTGGATTTGATATCCCGCTTTATCACTATCCGAAGGAGTCTCAAAGCGGCTAACATTCTCCTTTCCCTTCCTCCCCCACAACAAACACTCTGTGAGGTGAGTGAGGCTGAGAGACTTCAGAAAAACGTGACTAGCCCAAGGTCACCCAGCAGCTGCATGTGGAGGAGCAGAGACGCGAACCCGGTTCACCAGATTACAAGTCTACTGCTCTTAAACACTACACCACACTGGCTCTTGTGAAGACCTTGAGCACCTGCGTTTTCCTGTATACCTGAGGGAGCCCCGATGGGCTGACTGGGGAATCATCTTCTCCCCAGCTGAGCTTCTGGATATGTTGGGCAACTGAAGATCCCAGCTCTCTCTCTAGGATCGCAGCCGGGCACGTCTGAAGGTCACGCACCATGGTGAGTCCCAGCGTCGCAAGGCGCTTTGCTGTTTTATAGCCGATACCTGCACAAGAGAAATTGTTCACTCTACAAGTACAGGGGAGTGAAAATCTCTCAGCGGACTGGCATGAAATGGAATGGAATGTTGGCCTTGAACTAGGAAGTCCTCAATTCAAAGACAGCAGGAGGCTTCAGGCATGTCCACAAGCATATTTATTTATTTGAAGGCAAACCCAGGAAGTCCCCTTAGTATGTAAAAACTGGTCCCTTATTTCTGAATGGCCTTTTTTGCTTCCAGATTGATAGGTATTCGGCCACTAAGAAAGGTAATAATGTGTGTACAGAATAGGACCTATAAAAGGGTAAAAGAGTATTGGGAAATAATTCATAATGATTTTTTAAAAAAAGTTTTAAAGTGCTTTTCCAAAAAACAAAACAAAACCAGAGTCCTTTTCGTTGGGGATAATTCAGATTAAAATTCCCAGCTGTCCAAATAAGTTATTTATGTATGCCACGACTGCGGCCTGTGCTTTATTAGCCCCAGAATGGAAAGCAAGCGAGGTCCCAATTAAAGAAGAATGGCAACTTAAACTGATGGAATATGCGCAGCTTGCGGACCTAACATACAGAATAAGAGAACAAGAAGAATATACATTTAAAGAAGATTGGAAAATGTTTATTGAGTATGGGGCGGGTGGGATTGTGTACACTTGAAAACATTGACAGCATTATGATAAATTCAACAGTGTAAATAAGTTTTGATGGATGTAATAATGGAATACTGAATGGCTTTGTTCATGTAAAATATGCAGGGATTTATGATATGATAAATGAACCATAGAAAGAGAAGAAGAGGAATCACTGACATTTTGAGGTTGTTTAAATGAATATTTTAAATCGTAAAACAGAAAATTTAATAAAAAAATGATACACAAAAAACACACAATGTGTGTACAGAATAAACCAAGGTAGAATTTCTCTTTTCTCGCCACCCATTCAAAAGAAGAAACCTCTTCCCCAATACCCCTCCTCTTAAACCTAACCTATACAGGTGAGTGCACCTGTGTAACTGAAGCAGAGGAATCTCCCCCTCCCCATCTTACCAGGCACTTTCATGACGTTGTCAAGGCTGTTCATGAGGTCCTGCCGACCCTCCGGCAACAGAACAGTTTGCTGGTTTGGTTTAAAGGTCCCGGACACCAACTTGGAGAGTAATTTGTTAGTTGCCACTCCTGCACAGCCTGTGAGGCCCAGCCTGCTGTGCATGGCTGCTCTCAACTCCGCTGCCACCTGAGACCCCACAGCCAATCGTATGTGCACTGGATCATGTAAATCGACAGCTGAGAAGCAAACAGAAAGCGTTATGAAGAGGTGCATCTAACAGGCCAAGCAACCTCACTTAGGAAGGGTGAGGTACTTACTCTGATTGTTATATACATGGCCTGAGAGAGAGATTTGAGAAAAGGCATCTTTTTTCCATTGTCCCAGCCTTTTTTCGACCATCTCAGTGATGTCTACAAAATTTTCATCCAATCCAAGCCTTTCCACCAGGGGAGTAAATTCTTCCAACAGTGCTGTAAACAAAACAACAAAGTGTTTAACTGAGCTAGTGGAGGGGAGACGCGGGTGGCTAAACCACTGAGCCTCTTGACCTTGCTGATTGGAAGGTTGGTGGTTTGAATCTTCACGACGGGGTGAGCTCCTGTTGCTCTGTCCCAGCTCCTGCCAACCTAGCAGTTCGATATCACACCAGTGCAAGTAGTTAAACAGGTACCGCTGCGGCGGGAAGATAAACGGCGTTTCCGTGCGCTCTGGCATTCATCACGGTGTCCCGTTGCGCCAGAAGCGGATTAATCCTGCTGGCCACATGACCCGGAAAACTGTCTGTGGACAAATGCTGGCTCCTTTGGCCTGAAAGCGAGATGAGCGCCGCAACCCTTTGACTGGACTTAACTGTCCAGGGATCCTTTACCTTTACCTTACAGGGAGAAGAAGAAAATTAATACCTCCTTAATAGAAAAATCCAAGGCTCATCACAAACTGCTGCCCATAGCCTAGGCCTGACACTTTTTGACAAGGTTGTCTAATATTTCTGAACTGCTCATTTGAGGAACCCGTAATCACCTTCTCTTTGACTGAACAAGAATAGAGGCAGATGGGTCCAAGGCCAGACCTGAAGGATGCACTTTTCAGCTCAGGGTCCCTACAGACAGCAGCCTGGGTTGGAAGCTAAACATAAACACAGGAATGCATTGCTCCGTTGATGTAAGGAAAGTCGGAAGGCCAGCCCACAATAATGTCTACCATACCTGATCAATCCAGATCAAAATTATTTTTCTAATAAAATAATTATTACAACCTTACAAAAAAGGGCTTTTACGATATTGCTGCTGAAACAGACATACAGCAGAACGGAACGGGTGTGAGTGCCAGTGGAATTTTAAGGGAGCAGCTTATATTCAGGCATTGTTGTTTTTTCTGTCGTTCCCCCCCTTGAATTTTAAAGATGTGGCTTATTTGCGGGTGCGGCTTATATTCGGGCCAATACGGTATATGGAGCACTTTAGACTGGAAGCAACAGTGAGACAAGGCATCTTGCTTAAGGAGACCTGGGGGAGTTGATATGAGTTGGCACTTCCACCCACAGCTTTCGAGTCCAAAGCCAACGCAATAAACATCTCCTTTTCAAGGCTGATTGAAATGAACAAGTTTTTGGTGGCAGCTGAATGCTCAGGCCCTAATCCCAACCCCACTTGCCGGGGAGCAAGTCCCACTGCATTACTTCTGAGTAGACATGGGCAGGCTTGAGCTGTGACTTATTTCCCCAGGCTTTGAGGAGAGGATTGCTTCCTTGATTCTGCAGGTTGTATGTTATTCTGCAAATGACAACATTCTGGAGGTCCCAAGTCGCAAGGTGGTTAGATTGGTCTCAACTAGGGCCAGGGCCTTTTCAGTACTGGCCCCGACTTGGTGGAACACTCTGTCATAAGAGACTAGGGCCCTGCGGGACTTGACATCTTTCCGCAGGGCCTGCAAAACAGAGCTGTTCCACCTGGCCTTTCGTTTGGACTCAGTCTGACCTTTATGTTTCCCTCCCCTTATGGTCTTGATCTATGGGCTACTTTTAAAATGAGGCTGCATTTTAAATTGCATTTTAACCTGTATTTTAAATTGGTTTGTTTTTTTCCTATTATGTTTTTACTGTAATTTTACTGGTGTTAGCTGCCCTGAGTCCGGCTCTGGCCGGGGAGGGTGAGGTATAAATTTATTCATTTATTCATTTATTTATTTATTATTGTTATTATTATTGTTGTTGTTATTATTATTAATTATTATTATTATTATTACTACTAGTACTACTACTACTATTATCTCCCTGCACCCAACCTGTTTTCACTGTGCATTGATTTCAATGCACTCTGGGACTGCTTCAGCCATGAAGAGATAGAAAGAAATACTTTAAATGCAATAAAAGAGAAAGTTTTGTTAAGTTTCAGGCCCTTTATTACTCCAACTTTATATTTCAAGGGAGTAAGCTGTCGATGAGGGATGCGTCTGCTTCCAGGAGATGCACACATCACAAGGCAACTTTATGACATCACCATGACAGGACCTTGGGAAGATTCCTCAAGTCCCGAGGTCCCCAGCCAATGCCCACACATTACAACAAAAGTAGGAGGAGCAAGAGGGGAAGTTCTGGAAGTTTGGGACACAAGCTGTTTCCACAGCTGAAGCCTGCTTGTGCATAACTCCTGAAGCCCCTTCAGAGCTCGCATCTTTCAAAGTCATTTCCTTATCTGCCCTTGCTTAGTCGGCTTCACATCTCCTTACCACCTTGCTCTCAATACTGTTTGCACCTGCAAAGGTTTTGGGGCCGTCACACTGCTTCATTTCCAATTGGTACACATTTCATAATATTCAAGTATATCTGAAGGAGCATCTCCACCCCCATCGTTCTACCCGGACACTGAGGTCCAGCGCCGAGGACCTTCTGGCGGTTCCCTCACTGCGAGAAGCCAAATTACAGGGAACCAGGCAGAGGGCCTTCTCGGTAGTGGCACCCTCCCTGTGGAAAGCCCTCCCACCAGATGTCAAAGAGAACAACAACTACCAGACTTTTAGAAGACATCTGAAGGCAGCCCTGTTTAGGGAAGCTTTTAATGTTTGATGTATTACAATATTTTAATATTTTTTTGGAAGCCGCCCAGAGTGGCTGGGGAAGCCCAGCCAGATGGGCGGGGTATAAATAAAAAAATATTGTTATTTATTATTATTATTACTTCCTAGTGAAATTACTCAATCTGTCATACTACGCACAAATCTTCTGGTTTATTTTTTTTGCTGTGCTTTAGCCCCTCTGGACAGCAATAACATGGCAGTGTCGGGGGAAGCATTTCAGAGCAACTAGCAAAGCAGAGTAAATCCACCACTAAGCCAACCTCGTGTCCAGAACATGTTACAAAATCTGCAATAGAAACCTAGTCTGCAGGGGTCCTATAAAAGGAAGCTATGAAGCTATCCTATGACAGCTCAGATTATTTGCCCTTATGGCCCAGTATATTCTACTCTGATTGGCAGTGGCTCTTCAGGGTCTCAGGAAGAGAACATTTTACATCACTAACTATCAGATCTTTTTAACTGGAGAGGCTAAATACTGAGCCTGGGACCTTCTGCAGGTAGAGTGCATTCTTATTCTTATTTACACCCCATCCATCTTGCTGGGTTTCCCCAGCCACTCTGGGTGGCTCCCAACAGAATAAAAGCACAATAAAACATCAAACATTAAAAACTTCCCAAAACAGGGCTGCCTTCAGATGTCTTCTAAAAGTCAGATAGTTGTTTATTTCCTTGACATCTGATGGAAGGGTGTTCCACAGGGCAGGCACCACTACTAAGAAGGCCCTCTGCCTGGTTCCCTGTAACCTAAGGTTACCAGATGTCCCCGTTTCCCGGGGACAGTCCCTGGATTTACAATCCATTGAAGTTGAAAAGTGTCCCCGGATTCATTGCAAAAAAATCTGGTAACCTTACTGTAACCTCACTTCTCACAGGGAGGGAATTGCCAGAAGACCCCCAGGGTTGGACCTCAGTGTCCTTGCTGAATGATGGAGCTGGAGATGCTCCTTCAGATATACTGGGCCAAGGCTGTTTTTAGGGCTTAAAAGGTCAGCACCAACACTTTGAATTGTGCTTGGAAACATACTCTCCTAATTGGATATACTGTAGTCCCTTCCCCAGGTCATAAGAGGTGAGATCTGTACTCATGACTGAACCCCTGGGATAAAAAGGTAAAGGGACCCCTGACCATTAGGTCCAGTTGTGGCCAACTCTGGGGTTGCGGCGCTCATCTCGCTTTATTGGCCGCTTCCGGGTCATGTGGCCAGCATGACTAAGCCGCTTCTGGTGAACCAGAGCAGCGCACAGAAATGCCGTTTACCTTCCCACCCGAGTGGTACCTATTTATCTACTTGCACTTTAACGTGCTTTTGAACTGCTAGGTTGGCAGGAGCAGGGACCGAGCAACGGGAGCTCACCCCATTGCGGGGATTCAAACCGCTGACCTTCTGATCAGCAAGTCCTAGGCTCTGTGGTTTAAGCCACAAGTTAGCACAAAGTTTGCCAATTCCACATTGTTTAAAACTGTCAAGGTGATAATACCTGTAAACTTATAAGACATTTCCCGGTATTTTGTCAGATCCTCTCCATTAACCAGCACCAGTTCTGGACACTTTTCTTTGGCTTCTTTCACAGACATGCACTTCTTGACTCCAGCATTTCGGGCTTCATAATTGCAGGTGACCATCAGGTATTTCTGTTGCACACCTGGAAGAGGCAGAAATGAAGCAGCTGAAATGAACAATCCGTTTGGAGTTTTCAACATGCCAAAGTATATTTCAGTAACTCGCATGGTACTGCTTTTCTCCTCTTTTTTTAATTTCCAACACAAATCAATGCATAGTTAAGCAGAAGCAAGTTGCACTGTGTTCAGTGGGTCTTATTCCCTAGCAAGTGTGTTTAGGATTGCAGCCTGCATTTTTGGCTAATGGAAGCTTAACTGCACAACCTTTGACATATTTTGAGAAGCTAAAACACAAATATATTAAAAGTCGGTTCATTGGAAACATTTAAGAAAAACAAAATATTTATTGTCGGGTGCTCCTTGCAATTGCACCTGGCAGTTGGGAATATAAAAATGCTATCGCAGTTGTAAACTCCTAGAGAAAATAAGTGTGTAGATTTGCAGTGTTGAAAGAATGCAATGAAATATATCCACAACAACAGAATGCCAAGAAGACAATGGAAGCCTTAATCCAATCAAAACCTTACACTGGTGGTGCACCCCCCACCTGTTTGCGGCAGTATCCCCTTCAAACTATTCTGTAAAGTGTTGTCTGAATGAACAGATGCAAAAATAAAATAAAAAAATTGTGCAATTATCTGTCTCCTTTTTGTTTTTTGTTTGGTTTTTTCTTAAGGCAACCCTGTTCAGGGAAGTTTTTAATGTATGATATTTTAGTGTTTTTTGGTTTCTATGGAAGCCGCCCAGAGTGGCTGGGGAAACCCAGTCAGATGGGCGGGGTACAAATAATATATTATTATTATTATTATTATTATTATTATTATTATTATTATTATTATTTGGGCTTCCATCAGAGCAGAGTTACAGGTAATAATTTCTTGGGGAAAATGAAAAATGCAGGCATACCCTGATTTTCAATGTGCACACAGAAGAGCAGTCAACTATGAGATTACCTAAAGGTTTGCTTCTTAATTCAGGATTGCAGATCATTTCCACCTGCGCATAAAAACAATCCAGGTCAAGGTGCACAATGATTCTGTGCTGAGAGCTTCCCGCTGATGCCACTTTGCCATGGCAAGCTGCAGTGAAAGGTCAAAACAGAGATTTATTCATTTTTCATGTTTTCGCCACCAAGTGCTAAAGCATGTTAACATTTTAGCAGCTGTAGCTACAGTTACCGGTGTTCTATTGGCCCTGCTCCTGCAATTCTAACAACAGCCTTCTAAGCAACAGATATTTGGAAAGGAAGCTTCTCTTACTATAGGGACAAGAACATCTTCCTGCTAAATTTTGGGGCCTCAAGCTGCTGTTTTAAGGGAGCAGCAAGGAGGAAAAGTGTTAATCCATGATGCAAAGAATTCACAGACATTCAGATTCAAGCAAACTTGTTAACAACAACAACAACAACTTATACCCCACCCATCTGGCTGGGCCTCCTCAGTCACTCTGGGCAGCTTTCAACAGGATATTAAAAACACAATAAAACATCAGACGTTAAAAACTTCCCTAAACAGGGCTGCCTTCAGATGTCTTCTAAAAGTCAGGTAGTTGTTTATTTCCTTGACATCTGGTGGGAGGGCGTTCCATAAGGTGGGTGCCACTACCGAGAAGGCCCTCTGCCTGCTTCCCTGTCACCTCACTTCTCGCAGGGAGGGAACTGCCAGAAGGCTCTCGGAACTGGACCTCAGTGTTCAGGCTGAGTGGAGGGTGGAGACGCACCTTCAGGAATACTGGGCTGAGGTCAAGGGGTCTCCTCCTTGCATCTCACAGAGGATACAGCACCATTGACCCTTACTTGCCATCTTTGTAACCTGCAACATGCACACCGATTCTCATAAAAGCACAGCACCATCTTTGCATGGGGCGGGGCACCCAAAGTGGGGTCCAAAGTTCAAGAGAAAGAGAGAAAGGATGCTGAGGAGGTAACATCTTCCTCCATCCCTAGCCAAGACACATTGATGGGGCAAATGCCTTCCTCAATGGTAATATTGTGAGAAGTAGGTTGCTCCCTCCTTTGCCCCAACCAGATTTGGGGGAAAGCTTACAGCTTTCCCCACCTTATAGCAGTGGTTCTCAAAGTGTGTGGCAGGAGAGGATGACAGGTGTGATGGGAAGATTCAAGGACATGGAAACATTTAAACATTTCAGTGTAGTGTTGTATCTATAGATATAGATATTATTTGCAGACTATGGATGGTTATCTTTTAAAAAATGAGAGCAAGAGCATCAAGTCATACCGAGGGCAATCCTAGTTGTGGTCCTTTTGTTTTCCAATGTATTTCTTATTAAAAAAAATAATCAGTGTGGCATGAGCAATTTCTTATCGTTAAAAGTGTGGCCCAGAAAAAAAAATTGAGAGCTGCTGCCTAATGGCACCTCTCTCTGTGTGTGCTCCCAGAAGGGATCCAATACATTTCCTTCTCCACCTCTTTTCTAATGCTGCTCTTCGAAGAAGGGCAATAAAATCCAATTAATAATAAAGTAAGAATTAGCACGCCAGTCCGCAGATCTCTTGCACACAGCGGCAGCTTGCACCCATGCATACACCCCGATGACTGTCCACAGCAGTTTGCAAGCGTGCAAAATTACACTGGTGTTAGTAAACCATTAAGTATTCCTTATTCCATTCTCTCATACTGTTCTCAGCCTGCTTTCTCGAAGGTTAGCAGCGACACCCCCACTCTCACGCTTTATTCCCCTCTAGCTATGCCTTTCTCTTTCTGCAATGAACTCCCTGTATTTTTGAGAGGGCATCAGAAGAGCCTTGCAGGATCAGGCCAGGAGCCCATCTAGTCCCAGGCGCCTATGGGAAGCAGCAGGACCTCTCCATCCCATCGGATCATTTTTCGTTTGCCCTTTTCTGAACCGCTCCCAGTTCTACAATGTCCCGTTTGGGAAGCGAGGCGACCACAACTGCTCCCAATATCCTTGGGAGAGGCGCCAGCTTTCCAGCTCCCCGCCAGACTAAAGAGGAGCGGGTCCGAATTCTGAATTCGCTTCCTACGCCGCTTTGTACCGAGCTCGGTAGATGGCGCAGTTGAAGCAAAGCAGCAAACCCCCGCCCCCAAACTGTTCGCCCCTGTTTACATGGGACTCTTCCTCCAGCAGCAAAAGGATCTCTCCCAGGGCTGCCGGCGGGCTCCGGCAGAAGCCAAACCGGTTCCTCGTCGTCTCCGGACCCCTCCATTAGATGCAAGCGGCGTCTGCGCGGCCGCCGCAAACGGGCGCCACCTTCGCCCGAGCCCGTTGCGCATGGCCGGCCAGCTGGGAAGGCGGAGTTACGCGAAGAGACTCCCTTCCTTCCTTCCTCGTTCCGGCGTCCGGTCTCTCTGAGGTCGGCATCACTTAATCCGGATCTGGTTAAAGTTCAAGGTCCTCCCTTTGCCCCGCATCCCTTCATTCCTGTAGGGGAGCGGAGGGCCAGAACATTGCACGCCAGAGAGAAAAGTCCCGTTGGATGGAATGGCTCTGCTTTACTTCCGAGTAAGGCGTGCGTGCAACAATGGATAATCGCCCATGGATGAACCGCTTGCTTCCCAGGGAAAAAAAATATCCTGAAGCGATTTCACAGCAAACAAAGCAAGTCCACACGTGAAAACACAATAATATATTTCAAGACAACTTCATATGCTCAAAAGTTTCAAATCCAATGCCGATCAAGTAGGCGTCGCGTGGGAATTCTAATTTATGATTATTAGGGCAAGTGTCAATTCGAAAGTGCCTTGAGTCAGGATCAAGCTTCGGTGCTTTATAGGGCAGGTCCACACAAAACATTTAAAGCATATTCAGTGCACAATTGAAGCAGGTGACTTCAAAGGAATCCTGGGAACTATAGTTTGCCCCTCAAGGAGAGTTACCAGCACCCTTAACAAGATTCTTGGGGGGGGGACACATAGTCCTTTAAATATATGTGATGGGTCTCATATAATCATAAAATCAAAGAGTTGGAAGGGATCGTGAAGGTCATCTATTGTAGCCCAACCAGGAATCTCATGGCAAGTGTATTTAGGATAGCAAGACGTGAGAGCAATTAAGCTTGTGTAACAGGTTGTGAGCATTTTTTTTTTAGGGGCCTTAAGGTGGATCCGCACCTCAGCCTTTGCACATTTATATAATCACTTTAAAAAAATTAGAGTAAGGCTGGATCAGACCGGATCCACCTAGTATTCTGTCTCCAGCTGCAGACAAGCAAATGCTTCTGGAAACTCACATCACATAAAGCAGAGCATGGTTTAGTGAAGATGGTGCCACCCACTTCTGTTTTATTCCCAATACCAGAGGCACCTTCCCTTTGTCTCCACCAGAGACCTCAAAGCCACCAGTACCCTTAGGAGGCCAACTTGTGTGGGTTTTGCTTAGAAACAGGATGGCAAATCCTAGAGGAGTCTAGAGGTCATCACAAACAGCTTTTAAGAATCTGCATTGTTGTTGTTTTGTTGTTTAGTCGTTTAGTCGTGTCCGACTCCTCGTGACCCCATGGACCAGAGCACACCAGGCACTCCTGTCTTCCACTGCCTCCTGCAGTTTGGTCAGACTCATGCTGAGAACACTGTCCAACCATCTCGTCCTCTGTCATCCCCTTCTCCTTGTGCCCTCCATCTTTCCTAACATCAGGGTCTTTTCCAGGGAGCCTTCTCTTCTCATGAGGTGGCCAAAGTATTGGAGTCTCAGCTTCAGGATTTGTCCTTCCAGTGAGCACTCAGGGCTGATTTCCTTCAGAATGGATAGGTTTGATCTTCTTGCAGTCCATGGGACTCTCAAGAGTCTCCTCCAGCACCATAATTCAAAAGCATCCATTCTTCGGCGATCAGCCTTCTTAATCTGATTATATTTCCCCAAATTATAAACCAGGGCCATGCAGAAAGGTGTGTTTGGAAGGGAATTCAGAGTTCACTGGCAGGCGGAGATAATTCATTTTTAAAATTGCCTTGCACATCTCCCTGACCCTGTGTATAGGGAAGTCACACACTGGTTGACCCAGCTGGATGGGGCTTTCTCAAGCCACTCTCTGTGCCTTTTGCATCAAGCCTTGCGAAAGATTTTCGTCCTGTGTGCCGTGCGCCCATTGGGTAAGGGCTGTAGCTCAGTGGCAGAGCACATCTGCATTGGTAGCTCAGTCGGTAGGGCATGAGACTCTTAATCTCAGGGTCGTGGGTTCAAGCCCCATGTTGGGCAAAAGATTACTGCATTGCAGGGAGGTCGGAGTAGATGACCCTTGGGACCCCTTCTACCTCCACAATTCTATGCTATGCATGCAAAGGGTCCCAGGTCCAGTCCCTAGCATATCACCGTAGGGCTTGCATTGACCCCTGCCAGGTACCCTGGAAAACCACTGCAAGACAGTGAGTTACGTCGTCTGATTCGGTATAAGGCAGTTTCCTATGCTGGCACTTGCTTGCTCACCAGAAAGCCTTACGCTCAAATAATAAACAACCTGAGGTCTTACATGTTTATTCCCAAGTAGTTTTCACTGCACGGGCTTTGCAATGAGGGCGAGCCTTGCAGCCGAAGTAACTTTGCTCTTGTTTCTGTTTTGCATTCGCGGTATGACAAATAAACCCCACTGATGCTGTTTTAAGCCTCAGAAGGGCGAAGATGCCCAGTTCTCTCTTGTAGGCATCTATACGTGGCTGGCACAGAAGGAAGCCTCTCCCCTCTCCCCGCCTTGGCTTTTCCACGTAGGCAACGCCTAAGATTTGAACCCGCTCCGCGTCCCCGTCTCCTCCGCGCCCAACTGCAGGCTCAGAGAACCCGGCGGGCTCCGCCCAGGCAGACAATTCCCCGTTTCTAAAATTAAAGATGTCCGGAATCCGGATGGCTCGTTTTCCCGAAAGTTCCCGCTCTCGGAGATGCACGACCTCGCCCACAATTTCCGGTGTGTGATGGATCTGCTCAGGAGACGCGGGACGGCGCTCTGCACATGCTCAGAAGCATTGCCTGAAAGTTAGAACTCTTTCTGTCCTTGAACCTCGCTAGTAAACCTAGAGATTTGGAAACTGGAGCGCCTCAGTAGCTGTGTGTGTTGATGTGTATTTGTGGAAATCCACTTTACAAAAGTATGGAGACGTCCCATATGGGGATCGAACCTGCAACTTTGGCGTTATCAGCACCACGCTCTAACTAACAGGGGGTTGGACTAGATGATCCTCAGGGTCCCTTCCAATTCTGTGATTCTATACACTTGCTCAGAAGCGCTGCCTAAAAGTTTAAACTTTTACGGAGGAAGCTCTCGACCAGATGTTTGGGATCTGTGCGTCTCCGTTTGCCACGGGGAAAGCGACCTACGTGCTCTCAAAAATGTTAAATGTCTTTATCCGAGAAAACCCACACTTTTAAAGTCCAGATGTGTGGGATTTGGAGCTCCTCACTTTGCACATGCTCAGAGGCGCTTCCTACAAATTGAAACTCTTTTTCGGAGTAAGCCCTTACCCTCTACTGAGGGATCTAGCCCTTCGCGGTAGCCACTGGGAAGGCCATTCTGCACATGCTCAAGGGCGCTCTCTAATATGGTAAACTCAGTAAAAACTCTCGGCCCCAGATTCCAAATGTGCGGGAACTGGAGCGCCGGGCTACAATCCTAAACCAGCTCCTTTGGAAATTAGAGACACTTACCTAGGAGTAAAGCTCCATTGGAAACAGCGAAAGTCTTACGGCACGTATATCAATACATTCTTTTATTGAGTATAGTTACATTTTGTATCACGCGCGCTTTCAGAACTGCCAGTGGCTTTGAGACATTTTTGCAGCGCGACACGAATAAATGCAACTAATGATAACGATAATACGAAACCATCGCAGTTCGATCCCGCGTTTCCCTCCGGCTCACACGGTCCTCCCCCTGCTCACTTCATCCTCACGACAACCCTGCGGGGTAAGTCGGGCTGACGAGCAGCGACTGTCCCCGGGACAGCCCCGTGAGCGGGGAATCGAACCCTGTTCTCCCAGGTCAGAGTCATAGAGAACCCTAGAGCCCACGAGGGTCATCTAGTCTAACCCCGTGCCGCGCAGGGCTATTCTAACCACTGCACCGCACCGCCCTCTAACACACACTAGTCCCGCCCTCTAACAACCGCGGGACCTTGTGTCCCACCAGACGTCGACGTTAACCATTGGTCGCGCTGGCCGGCGCTGATGGGAGTTGGAGGAGCCTACCAAGATATGGGGAGGGGGGTGTTAGAGACGCAGCCGGGCAGCCTCTAACACTACCTCGGAGGGCGGCGCTGCGCAGCCCATTCGCCTCCTCTCTGCCGTCCGCGGCGAGGGGCGCGCGTAAAGTTGGAGCGCGGAGGGAAGGGGAGGCGGTCTTCCGGGCCGAGCCGGGTGCGTGTGCCCGGCTGGCTCGTCTGGGGGGCGGGCGCTTGGCTGGCTGGCTGGCGTGCCGCCCCCCTCCCCTCCCCGCCCTCTTTGGCTGCGCCGCGCGGGCTCTATGACCCCGAGGTTCCGAGCGCCGATGACACGGATTCCGAGGCTCAGTTACGGAAGCAGCAGCAAGAGGAGGCGGAGAAGCAGGCGCTCCCGCGGCCGTCGCCGCCGCCGCCACCGGGCAAAAGGAGAGCGCTGCGCGCGCAGCAGCCCCAACTCTGCCTCCCAGCTCTGGCCGACGGAGTTCAGCGGCGCAGGAGGAGCAGGAGCAGCAGGCGCGGAGCGTCGCCGCCGCTGAACAGGAGCCTCGACGGGCGGCCGCTGAGCGGGTCTCTCCGGCGCCCCTCGCCTGCCCAGCCTCCGGCCGGCCGGCCTCCTCCCCCGGCCAAGGAGCCGCCGAACGAGCCGGCCAGGCAGCCGGACAGCAGGCCTCGCTTGCTCCGGAGCAACTCTCTTCTTGGGCTCCGTCGGAGGGGCGCCGCCGCCCAGCCCCGCGCATGGAGAAGCGGGGGAAGCGGGTGGACTGCCCGGCGCTGCCTCCCGGGTGGAAGAAGGAGGAGGTCATCCGGAAATCGGGGCTCAGCGCCGGCAAGAGCGATGTCTACTATTTCAGGTAAAGCCTCTCCATCGGAAGCGCCAGCCGCCCAGCTCGAGTCAGGGCGTGACCCCAGAGGCGGTTTCGTCATGGCCGGGTTCAAAACGCGCAGCAGGAGAAGCGTCGCCGCCCTCTGAGCATGTGCAGAGTGAGGGGCTCCCGGGGAGTTCGAGGGTTCGGCACGCCGCGCTTGGGAGGGCAGAAGGAGTCGTGGCTTTCTGGCAGCGCCTCCTGAGCATGTGCAGAGTGAGGGGCTTCCCTCCTCAGGTGTTCTAGATTCCACACGCAGGATATTAGGACAGAAAAGGGCGCAACTTTCAGGCGGTTCCTCTGAACGTAGTAGACTAAGTTATACTCTCCTGCCTCCCAAGTTTCTAGGGAGCTCCAGGTTCCACGTGTCTTAAGTTTTAGGAGTGATTCCCACCCTTTGTGGTGGGAAGTTGTAACTTTCTCAGGAATTGGCAACCTGACGCATTTAGTTTTTGAAACAAAGTCTGGTCTGCGTGACTCTGAGTGGCTTTGGGAGATGAACCAATCTGTGCATTGGTGGCGTTCTCTGTCCTCTTTCCTCTCATTTTCTTCCCTGTGGATGAGTTTGACCAAACTGTGGGAGGCAGTGGAAGACAGGAGTGCCTGGCTGCTCTGGTCCATGGGGTCACGAAGAGTCGGACACGACTAAACGACTAAACAACAACAACAACCATTCCAATAAGGCTTCTTTCCCTTTCTTATTTTCTATCAGGGTCACCAAACCTACAAAAGGGACTGTTGACTGGTGGAGCCAGGCTAGGCTCTAAACCGGCCTTATGCGGCCTCTGGTGGCCCTACTTTTTATACTTTGCTACTCTGGTCTCTTTGGCCTCCCTTTCTGGGGTTCATAGCAGCAGTCCAGCCTCGGTGCAACCCTGTGGAGGTATGATAAAACTTCTGCCTGCAGTTTCGCTTGCAAGGGAAAGAGAACTTTTTCTCAAAGTTTCTAGGTAGGAAAAACATGCCTCGCTTCAACAGTAATATCTTTTCTTCTCCCTTTCTCCCCCTTCCGGCTTTGTGCAACACATGAATATCCATAATTGCCAGGCGGAAAGCCCGGATCCTGCAGCCTGGCCAGTTGGAAGGGTCCGGTTTGTTTGGCAAGATCCATTTACGTCCTCCAGACTGCTGCCTGGAAAGTGACCCCCCCCCCCGAAAGCAAAGAAGTCTACTTTCTCTGCCCTGCCCTGGGTGTGTCTGAACAGCAGGGGTGTAGCCAACTTACTGCTTTTCAGATGTTACGGACTACAACGCCCGCCACTCTTGACCACTGGCCGCACTGGCTGGGCAAGATGGGAGCTGTAGTCCAAAACATCTGGAGGGCATCACATTGCCTACATCTGCTGTATGGAGTAGCATTGTCAGGGCTGGAGTCAGGCGCAGGTCAGCAACAAAAACAGCAAATTGCCCGAGGCCAGTGCCTAGTTCTCTCAGCGACTCTTTCTAGGAGGTCATGTCCTGATGAAGCAGTTGTGAGGACTGAAGGTCCCGGCCTTCCCAGTGCCCACTAGGACTCCTCCTCTGCAGGGTATTTCTTGCACTATCTCAGGCTCCGCCTGTGCACAACCACCCTCTACTCTGTTTGTTTCGTTTCTCTGAGAGACCTGGGGGAAGGGAGCTGGTCACAGCAGCAGCAGGAGACTCCCTGGCTTCTTCAGCAGCCTGTCATCTCTGCTGCTTGCTCCCGCTCCTCTCCAGCCTCTGCTTCTGCCTTGGACTCTGGATTGCTCTCTGCCACAGCCTCTTCCTGCTCACTAAACCCTGTTCCCTCTTCGGCTTCCGAGGCCTCCTCCTCCCAGTCTGATCCCTCTTCTCACTCTTGACCAGTGAAGGAGGAAGGGGGATGCGGAGGGTGCGGGCCGCCCTGGGTGTCATCACGGGTGTGGGGGGGTGTGTGTGTGACAAAATGACAAAAATATGAGGTGTTTTTTTTTTAATTTGGGCTCACAAAACTTTTTAGTTCAGTCAACAAACCTAAGGAAACGTGGCTGGCACTGGGTGCCACACCGTGGGGGCCGGCACTCACCACGGGGCCTGCAGTGTGCCCGAGCCACGCGTCTCTCCTGGGAGTGACGTAGTGGCTTGGGCGCCTGCAGGCTCTGTGCTGCCTGAAACGGCAGCGTGGGGCTTGTGTCTGCTCACCGCCTCTTCCTTGGCTGCCCTACAGCTGAGGGGGAGGCAGCGGAGAGGCTCCACGCAGCGCCCCTCGCCCACATGCGCGGCTCGCTCAGCCCCTGGCTGCATATGCGTGCACTGCACCCAGCACCTGAGTGGCTAGTTATGCCGCTTCTCTTGACCACTCATTGTCCCACCACCAATCCCCTGAGTCTTCTTCCCCTGGGGGTTCCCCATCACCCCTCTGTGTCCATCCAGTCCTTTACAGACATTTATTTTCCTTCCTGCTGCATTCATGTATCACCCACCCAGGTGACACTTGCTCTTGCTGCTCCTTTGGAACTGTTTGCCTAAACTGTGTCTCCTCAATATTTTTTTGGGGGGGGCACGGAAGGAGACCCTGAGTGGGGCCCCCTCCTTGTGACCCCTGCTTGCCACGATATGAACCACTGCCTTGAAGCAGCAAGAACAGCCAGCTGCTTTCGCTTGCTCTTGCTTTGAGAAGTCAGGCAAACACACAGCAAGAGTAAGCGAGTGGGTTCTGGGGCTCAGCAGGGACCCCTGACCATCCACTGGACTTTCATTTCTCTCGATATGTTCTGTTTGCATGATGTGTTGGTCTATGGAATTGCACTTTGTGAGATATTATATGTTGAATTGTGTTTGAAATAGAAGTTACATGGTCAAAAACGGCCTGTTACGTTGTGCGTGTTGTTACCGGGGTTGAGGGCTTTGGCATGTGTCTCATTTTTTTTAATGTTTCAATGTGTTGTAAACCGCTTTGAGATTTTCCCCCCTTTAAAAATAAAGTGGTATAGAAAAGAAAGGAAGAATAAGAATGATCAAGGAGACTAGACAATCTGTTGTACTGACTGTTGCACTGACTGTAAAAAAGAAAAAGAAAAGGTAAAGGACCCCTGGACAGTTAAAAGGTAAAGGTAAAGGGACCCCTGGCCATTAGGTCCAGTCGTGACCGACTCTGGGGTTGCGGCGCTCATCTCACTTTATTGACCGAGGGAGCCGGCGTACAGCATGTGGCCAGCATGACTAAGCCGCTTCTGGCGAACCAGAGCAGCGCACGGAAACGCTGTTTACCTTCCCACCACAGCGATACTTATTTATCTACTTGCACTGGTGTGCTTTCGAACTGCTAGGTTAGCTGGGACCGAGCAACAGGAGCTTGCCCAGTCATGGGGATTCGAACTGCCAGCCTTCCGATCGGCAAGCCCAAGAGGCTCAGTGGTTTAGACCACAGCACCACCCGCGTCCCAATATGTGGTGACTGTAACCTAGGTTTAAGGTGCTGTTTGGTGATCAGCTTATATATCTGAGCTTCTTACACTGCTACAGAAACACACCTGCCTGCCCAGTGCAAAAGGACAACTTAGGATGTGGCGTTCCAAGGGTAGTGTTGCCCACTTATTCCCTGGTTGTGGAGGGCAAAGGGCTTTGTCCTCATGTCCAATTCTGTGCCTCAAAAGTGTGAGTACCTTGCATCCTAGTACCTTGTAGCTTTACCCACTCAAGTCTGCTGTCCCAGGCAGGGACACAAGGGGCATTGGTGGCCACCAGCTTGCATGGTTGTAAAAGCAGGTTAGACCAAAGCTATCAGTGGCTACTAGTCACAATGTCCATGTTCTCCTGACAGCTCATGGGAGTGACAGTTGGGGACAGGGCTCTTGCACACCCATGGGCATTTGACTGGCCCTGGTGGGAACAGGGTCCTGGGCCAGATGTTCCTTTGGCCTGATCCAGCGGGGCTTTTCCTAAGTCCTTAGGTTAAGCTGGCACAGTCCAGTCTGGAGCAGCGGTGTTGTGTTTGGAGCTGTCCTCTTCAGGCCTGGCGAAAGCAGGCAGCCTGTCTACTCTCGTTTCCTTCAGAGTCAGAGAGAATGACACCTGGGCTTCTGTGATTCCCTCGTTGGCTTCTGTGGGCCAGACAGAGACTGGGCAGGCTGTCCCCCCATTTATACTGCCAGCCAGGAAAATGCCCCTAGAGAGCATCTCCCTCAGAGCAGCAGGATTTCGACTTTCCTTGCATCTTCTTCCCCTTCCTGTAAGTCACCAGGTGACTTTCATAACCATTCCTGCCACACCTTTTTCTTACTTCTGCTGCTGCAGCAACTTTTCCTTTCCTTTCTGCTACTGTTACTCCTGTTGTTTTTACTACTACTACTACTTGTTACAGCTGCTGCATCATTAGCCTGCAGTATGTTTTAAAAACTAATAATAATAATAATAAAGTCATACCTCGGGTTGAATGTGCTTCAGGTTGAGCGCGTTCGAGTTACGCTCCGCGGCAACCCAGAAGTAATGGAGCGTGCGCATGCGCAGACGCGCAAACATCACATGCATGCGCAGAAGCAGCGAAAAGCGACGCGCGTGTGCGCAGATGTGCCGTCGCTAGTTATGTTTGCTTCTAGATGCGAACGGGGCTTGGGAACAGATCCCGTTCGTATCTAGAGGTACCACTGTAAATTATTGAGGCTGTGAATTTTTAAGCACCATGCTACAAGTTGCACAGAGCTTCATGTAACTCTTTTTTGAAGGAACGTCTTGGAGATTTGGTGGGAAGGAGATTCTTTAACCCAGTCATAGGCAAACTCGGCCCTCCAGATGTTTCGGGACTACAATTCCCATCATCCCTGACCACTGGTCCTGTTAGCTAGGGATCATGGGAGTGGTAGTCCCAAAACATCTGGAGGGCCGAGTTTGCCTATGCCTGCTTTAACCCTTGTCAGTTGTCCTTTCATCTCTCGGTTCCCCAGTTACTTTTTCTTCAAAGAGGGAAAGGGAGGAAAAGCTTATGCTGGGGGCATGGGGGAGCCTAATGTTTACAGCAGAGGTTGGGAATTGTTCATCCATAAGCCAGG